TTCTCATAAGATAACAAACATTAATCTAATTTATGCAAAGCCTTTTCCTCTTAACAAATTTGACCACTCCCCCCCCCCCCCCCCCCCCGGCCCCAGCATAACTCAAGGACCCAAAGAACGTCTTTAGGATTCAAAGTTCTTCACTTCGACATCTTCGAATCGTTCATGTAAGATTTTCATATTCTGAAGCTTTGATTTCGATTTTAGGGGGTGTTTGGCTTGTCTTTTTGAGAGGCAAAAGTCTTTTTTGGAAAAGTTACAAAAAGTCAGTTTTCCTTATATCCAAAATCCAAAAGTAGCTTTTAAAATGTTTTTACCAAACATCTTTTACCTTTTATTTTTTCCAAAAAGGACTTTTGCCTCTCAAAAAGACAAGCAAAACACCTCCTTAATGTTGTTTCTTTTTAGTACTGCTTCACTTTCAATATATGTTTGTTTCATGGTTTTAATTTCATTCATTCTCATCAAATATGTGCGTATTTGAATGCCTGTTCTAGGGTTTTGTTTTGAATATCTGATCAGTGTTTTTATGTATTTGCCACCATTTCTTTGTCAATAATAACTCTCCCCTGATTATTCACTTATATACAACAGCTACATTTACCATAATTCTAATTTTCCTGATGCCAGAGTAATTTGATGGAAGGATTGATCTGTTCACGAATAATTCCTATTCGTGGCTATGGTAATCAAAGAAACACCCCCTTCTTTCCATCATATACATCAAACAAAAGAAGAATCTTTTATGGTCCAATCAAAATGATGGGGCCCTCAACATCACCCAACTCAAAAGCTGCCTCCATTAAGCCATTAGCAGCCTCCTCAATCCTCATCAAACCTATTCGACAATACATTACCTTCCAAAGGTATTTCATCCATCATATATTTCACTTTTATATTAAGTTAATCAAAATAACATTGATTTAAGTCTTTAACTGGATCATTCTTGAACACTTCAGAGGTTGTTGATTTATGGCAGAAAGCTGATGTTGTATGCTTTGATGTGGATAGCATTGTGTGTCAGGATGAGGGCATTGATGAACTTGCTGAGTTTTGTGGAGCTGGAAAAGCTGTTGCTGAATGGACTGCTAGGTTAAATCATAAATGTCTTTTGTGCTTAATTAAAAAATAATTATGTTTTTGATTTATTTTCATTTAATTGTGTGCTTACAGAGCAATGGGTGGTTCAGTTCCTTTTGAAGAAGCCTTAGCTGCAAGACTCTCTCTTTTCAAACCTTCATTATCAACAGTTTAAGATTTTCTTGAAAAGAACCCCCAAAGTATATTTCCCTTTCTTTCCTCTCAAATGAAATACCCTTAAACCCTAAACACTAAACCCTAAATTGGAAATAAGAGGTACTTTTTTTGCTTTTGGATTGGTAGACTTTCACCTTGCATAATGGAATTGGTTGAGAAGCTCAAGGGAAGTGGTAAAGATGTATACCTCATCTCTGGAGGTTTTCGTCAAATGATCGATGTAAGCCTTCCACACACTAACAAATGTAATTTTACATTTTTAGTCCCTGATCTTTTCTCTATATATTCCATAATCTACCCCTAAATCTATTTCTTTTATTCCGTAATTAGAATTTCCATATCACCCCTCATGTTTTGTAATTTTTCACTTTGTATTCGTTTTAAAATGAAATGTTACATTGTTAGTCCGGGACCTTCTCTCTTTATTCCATAATCTACCCAAAAATCTATTTCTTTTATTCATTGATTGACAGTTAATATGTTTTTTTTGTAGCCGGTTGCAGCAATCCTAGGGGTAGAACCGAAAAATATATTCGCTAATCAACTGCTATTTAAGAATTCTGGTGAGTTTGTTGGTTTTGATGCAAATGAGCAAACTTCTAGAAGTGGAGGAAAACCAACTGCAGTTGAACTAATAAGAAAGGTTTGCATTTTTTTTGTCTGTGTGGATAAAGTACTAAAGTACTATAAGCATAAAGTATGTTTCTTTTTTAGACTGAATAAACTGTCTGAATTTGAGTACATGTCGTTTTACATTGTTGTATGCTCTTCTCACTTAACCTATTAAGACGTGCTTAATGTATTAAGTCAAAAAGAAACACCCGGAATAAGTGCTTTAATGTGTTAAGCCCTTTAAATATTTTTAACAAAAATTTAATGAAATTATCAGACTCATGAATACAAGACAGTAGTAATTGTTGGTGATGGTGCGACTGATCTTGAGGTAAGAATAACTCGGACTCTATTTGGTTTGTTGACCAAGTGGTTTTTGTTTGACTTTAAAGATCCATTAATTTTTTTTTTAAAATAGGCTCGAAAACCAGGATGTGCAGATCTTTTTATCTGCTATGGTGGCGTCCAGCTTAGGGAGGTTGTGTCTTCAAAGGCGGATTGGCTAGTGTTTAGCTTCAAAGATCTTATAAACTCTTTGGAATAACTTGAACCATGTTTGTATTATTTGTTAAACATGAATTAATATGAGGAAGTTTTAAAATTTATATGGTTTGGTTAATGTTTTGTTAAAGTGTTTATAGCCATTGAAGAGAGAAAATTCATTGGTTGAAACCAGGGGCTTGAAGCTTACAATTGGTTGGGTGGATGTTATGATTTGTTAGTGGGTTTGGTGGACATATTACAATTATTGTGTTCCAAAGTCATGTGCATCTTATTTTTCTTTTTCTTTGTCCCAAATGATTTTATGTTTATATTGTAGGGTAACGATACTTTATTTGTTCAGCCCTGTTAACTTCAATTTTAATCAAAATTTAATGATTAAAGTGGAGAAATGACATAATTTGTTTTCCCACATGTCACTAAGGATGACCAAGATATATAATACAAGTAGAAAATAGATTATTCATCTTTAGTCTTGTCAACATTGTACTTTCAATGTCTTGTTTATTATTATAATTTTACGGTTTTGGCCTTAATTAAATATTTTGAGTGAACTTTAAATGCGTTCATCTGATGGACATGTATAATATTAGTTAATTAAATGTCATATTTAAACCAATCCTGCCTATGGTTTTTATAGGTTTTATATGAAGTTCATGTCTAATCTCCTATACACAATCACATCTAACATCAATATCACTCATAATATATAAATAAAAGAATTATTCGATAAAATAATCATATTTTGAAATTATATGTAACTATGTGTCCATTTTTCTCTTTTACGTCTAAATGACATAAAAATCGCTATAAAAGAAAAAAAAAAGACTTCAGCCTAACGGGAATGAGCAAGGACGAAATGACAAGATGAGGCGCCCTGACACCCCCATTTAGAAAGATAAATTTACAAGGTTTTTTTTTACTCAAAAGACACTTGATTACATAAAAAAAAAACTCCCAAATTAGTGAATACCCCCAAATTAACGATGGATTCGTAGGCACTTATATTTTTCAAAGAAAAAAAAACTTGGATTTTTTAATAAAAAAATCGTCAATAAACTTAAAAACTTGAAATTTAAAATCAAGATATTTTTTGAAAATTATATAAACAAAGTAAAAGAATGTGTGGTTGAAATGATTAAAATATAGTTAAGATGAATTTGCAAAACAAAATAGAAAAAAATGGGTGAAATTGTTAAGTTGTATGTTTTCTGAATTAATATGACATATATAAGTCCTTATGTATGTGAGTTGAATAAACAAATAAATGAAGTCTATAAAAAGTTGGAAAATTAAAGAACGTTTAGGGACAAAGAAAAGAAAAAAAACAAAAAGTTGTATGGGTTCATAAAGATTTTATCGAGGAAACTAAAAAAGTTAAATCCAAACAAAGACAAGCAAATGTTATTTTATTTTTCTAACTTTCAAATACAAAAATGTGTTTTGAGTGACCCAAAACCTCTACTCGAGAACACATGCATCTTAGTCATTTCATATAGAGTTTGTAATTGTTTATGTTTTTTTATAAATATATCTTAATTATACTTTTAAAGTTTGAGTTTTTAATTTTTCCTCGAGAAAAAATAATATAGTGCCCAAAAATGGTTCACATATTTGGATGTATTATTTCGTGGATAAAATTTGAGAGTTTTGTTTTAATGTCTCTTGTATCAGAAATAGTAATGTTGGAACTTGGAACTCACACTTGTATTATAAAGTGACGTTCATAGGAATTTAATAACAAATGTATACGCTAGATTGGTTGGTTAATGTCTTATGTTTCTATGCTTAATGACCTGACTTTGAATTTTTTCCATAGATATTTTCTTGCATAATTTTCTTTTTATTTGTCTAATAATAAAAACAGGGTTTAGCAATAGCAAACACCTTACCTAGTTGATTTAACATCAATTCACAAGGCATTGTATCACGAATAAGTAAAAAGTTTTATCGGCCAGACCTATTCACGAATTTAGCATGGTAAATGATCTTTTTTTATATTCGCAAAAGGATGGCATTTGAAAAATATATAAGTTCGAAATTTGGTGATTTTAGTAAATAACTCAATAAAAGAAATATAAATATTAATTATAAGTGGTGAAATTGTTTCCCAATTTTAGGATATATCATTTTCTTACTTACTGACTATAATTTATATTCACCTTAATCAAATATCAAATTATTTGCAGATTTTAGAATACAGTATTTCTTAAAATGAAAAGTAAAACGACTTTAAATGAATATATTATTGTTATTATTTTTAAATAACTATAATAACTTCTTTTTAAGTAATTTTTTAATCCGTATCTTTCCTATCATTCTTTTTAAGTAAGTTTTTAACCCATAACTTTTCTACCATAGATAGCCACCCCAAAATATTGATAAAAATGATTTCGTTTCATATCTTACAAATAATCTATATAGTTGATTTAGTCATATAATTATTATAAAATATTCTTCTAAAGTCTTTATAACAACAAAATGACATAAAATTAATTTAAATAATCAACATGGTTGAGACTTAAGAGATCTAAATTGTCAAAGATTGGTGGTTGAGGCGTCAATTTTGATGTGGTTAATTTGGAAAAACCCTAGAATAATTTCTTTTCAATTCAATTGTTACAAGAAACCCCCAAATTACCCACTAAAATTCAACATAAAACCCCTTTTTATCTGCAATGTCAATCGTTAATCCGAAATTGGTTTAATGCTCTTGTCATCATTCGATTCGTTATCTTCTTTTTAGCCCTTTTTCTAACAGACGCTTCTTCAACCATACATACAGTCTTATTATTTTGGTGAAATCTTTTCAGAACTTTTCAAATGCCAGCATTTATGAAGTTCTTCGCACTCCTTAGGTCGCTTTCCTTCAAGTCTTCATCAACAATTTAAGGCCACCAAAGCCATCCATATTATGTTAGATGAACCTGATAAATGTATTCCTTCGTCATTGAGCAGTTCAAAGCGTCCCCATTTTTTTTATATTTAATGGGGTACGATTAAGGTTGCTCTACGAACAATCCGAATACGAATTTCATTGCTTTTCTGATGAAATCTGAGTTTTACTCATATCGCTGGATTCATCTCGTCTTCTTCTGCTTGGATTGATGATTTTTTCCCCACCTTGCATCGGTAAGTGTTCAATATCTTTGAGAGTAGTTTTGCTGCCAAAAACAGCAGTGTTAGGGATTGAGGAAGACTAATACATGGAGCTCTTTGTTTTGAATCTCTTTTTCTTGTTATAATCGCCCATGGTTTTCAATCGTTTTTGTGCTTCAATCCTCTTTGATTTCATGGGATTTACATTCTTTAGTTTATTGACATTGAGAATAACAATAAAAGACGAACACTGGTGTTTTTGTGAAGATTAGATAGATTAATTTTCTCCTGTGAAAGGGTGAAAAATGGATACATGGATGGTTGCAGTAGCCGCTGGTGCAGGCTATATAGCCCAACATTTTAGAAAATGTAAACAAACTGGTGAACAAATTACATCAGAATCACCATCTTTCAACAGTTCTTTTAACGACAAACCCAATTCCCCAAAATACCCTCCCGAAAGACCCAATTCCCCAAAATGGCCCTTCCGCAGGTCAACAAAGAAACAAGATGATTCCAAAGTAAAAAGTAAAGTTTCTCAAGGTGTTTCTACTACAGAAGCGACTTCTACTAGTGTAAATGGTGTAATTTCAGGCAATTGTGAGGGTAATAGTGTCTTTTCATCATCAACCACGTTCCCTTGTTTTGTTGGCAGTGATAATAGAGTAAGTGAAGTAAACATGGGTACTCCTAGAAATAGAATGCTATTAAGAAATAGAAGAGCCATTAAACCTTTAACCTCATTGGAAAGTTGTGTCATGGCTCAGTTACACACTCCATTTGCTTCACCTTCTTCAAAGACCACAAGACCATTTCTAGTGACTGATGGCAATAAGGTAATTAACAGGTCAAGTGGGGGTACTTTTATTGGGTCTTCAGAGATTAAACAAAATGATTCAGATGCAATGCTACATGTGTGTATTGGGATGTCTTTTGGCATATTATATTCTTTCATGGCAAATAGACGTGAGGTTGAAAAACTGAATCGGTTGTTGAAGCAAACTGAAAGTTTAGTTCAAGATCTTGAAGAAGAGATTGAGATGAAAGATTCGTTAGTCATGCAAGAACTTACAATTGATGATCATAAATCTCAAAGAACAGATAATGGATATAATAATTTGGAGGAATTAACAGATAGTAATAACAAAGAATCTGTTATACAGAAGAAAAAGGATGAATCTTTTGGTGAAATTGAAGCAGAGCTTGAAGCTGAACTTGAAATGCTTGAATTGAATATGACTTCTTCAACCTTAGAAAGAAGGATTAGTGATTTTTTTGAGGTAACCACTTCACATACCTAAACATATTGCATATGCACATTTTCAATTTAGCCCTATTTTTTTTACATTTTAAAAGTATGATGTTTTAATGGGAAAGGATTTAATACAGAAAGTATAAAGCTATACTTTTACATTTCCTTAAAATGTCTTAATGCAGAAAGAATGATTTAATACAAAAAGAAGGATTAGTGACCTTTTTGGGTGTTTCTTTTTGACTTAGAGAAAGTTAGGGTTTCACAATCAAGTCTTCAACTTTTTACAACTTCGCTTTTATTTACCTTTCCTTTTGATTTTTTCAAGTGCATCATTTTTCAAATATTTGTGAAATATCATTAATCCAGACACCACTAATCTTTGTTTGTTCTTTCATATTTTAGTGTTGATGATGTTTCTTGTATTAATTTTTTTTATTTGTATTAAATTTAAATAAACTTTTTTGCAGGTTGATCCAGATTTTGAGCCAGATGTGGCCCAAGGTGAGTTAAGGGCTGACATGGTGATGGATAACAGGAATGAAGATGAAAGTGGAAGCAGAAGCACCACTGGAAGTCCTCCATGTGCAAACTATGCAGTTTCACCTAGAGAATTAAGCTTAAGATTACATGAACTCCTTCAATGGCAGCTTGAAGAACGTATCAGAGAATTAGAAGCAGAAATCGAAAGCAAAAACACCCAAAATCACAAATCTTGGAAAGATTTGTCAAGCAGTGATGAAAACCCTAACCCTGACACTGTTGATGTTGATGTTGATGTTGATGATGAGCCTGTTGTTTTGAATTTATCGGGTGAGGCTTTAGATGCTTATAATGAAGCTTGTAATGAGTTTGCAAAGTTTGATGATGATTCAGATGAAGAAGAAGAAGAAGAAGATGAAGATGTTGGAACACCCATCATCAATGGAGGTTCACAAGATGATGATGATGAGGATGAAATGGAGAAGCTTTTAATAAAACATATTGTGGAGAAAGCAAGACAAGGGTCTCCTATGGTTTTAAATGCACAAAGGGCCTTGTTTTCTGAATAAAACTTGGAACTTATAATTTTGTTTGTATTCAAATTGTTATATATAGAGAGAGGTTAATGATAGCATATTCTTTTTGACATGGACTATTTGTGAGCTTTCGAACTATAGTTTTTTTTTTTTTTTTTTGGCATTGATTAGTAGATAGATATCCATTGTAAGACTAGTTTTTTCTTTAAAACAAAGGGTTATACGAATAGGTAACCAATTTTGCCATATGTTTAGGACTCATTGTTCTTAATGCAATTCGTTGGCACTATATGTATATGGTAAGTTAATAGTGATGCAATTCGTTGACATCAACCTTCGGTGGCACTATATGCAAGTAGAGATCATTTACTTCTAATATCTTACCACAAGAAACAATATGTATAGAAATATGTTACAGAAACCACACATCCTTATATAAGAGACTCCTTGTGTTTTCTATTGTTACGTATAAAACATTCACTTATATTTAACATCATATTTAAACTTTTAAATATGCTTTAATAATTTTATAACTATCTCATTTGAAAAAAATATATATTATAATAAATAGTTTTTGATATTTTTTTTTTGTTAATTGACATTTTGATTTAGATCTTATATTTTAACTTTTAAACTATTTAGAAAAATAGGTTTTAAAATATATTTTCTAAGTTTATTTGGAATTTTAATTTATAATACTTAACATCCTATTTAAATTAACAAACTTAATGTATTAGATTAACAATTATAATATGGGTTTCAAATTAATAAATTAAGTAAATTAAATTTATATTTTGAATTTAAAATCATATTTAAATTAACAAATTAAATATATTGTTATTATTGAAAATTATATTATTATTGAAATTTATATTATTATTGAAATTTAAAAATTAATATTGAAATTAATTTAGTAATGTAACATACACGTTAATAACCTTATCGATTATCGTGTTTTGTAAAGCTTATTAGCTTAAAATGAATATTATTATATGTTTTTGAGTGTTGAGTTCTAACAAGATAGTTTTATGAAGAATTGAAGTAAAACTATGCTTAAAATCATTCGGGAAGTATTGGAAGTCTTATGAGATTCCAATCAAAAGTCAACTATTGAAATTAACGAAAATATAAAGTTGGAAATAAATAAAAATAATGTTATTGAAAGTCGTATATTATCTCGTTAGAAACATTTAGGCGAAAGCCTCATCGAAATCCGAGTTATAACGAAGAAGTTATGACAAATCGAAGATCCGCGACAAAACCGGCAAAACACAATTTAGCGTAAAAAGTGAGTTTTCGATAAACTACTTTTTAGATTTAGTGATCTAAATGAAAGTCGTAGTATTCGTTAAACCGAGAATTTTCATAAAAAGAACGTAAAAATCTGACTTCGTATGAGGAAATTATGATTTTTCTAAGTTTCGGTATTGCAGTATACAACTAAAAACTCGAAATAAAGATCGAGTGATTTTTAGCCGACACAACCTAAATGAGAATCGAAGGTCTCGTCAATAGTAGTACAACGGTAAAAAGACAGACGAAAACAGACGTCGGATGAAGAAGTTATGAATTTTTAACGTTCGGGGCACAAAAACCGAGAATTTTCTCATGTGCATGGTCCGGGTTCGGCCACGTCACCCTCGCATGCGAGCCTGCCCCGTGTCCAAGCTGCTGAGTTACCCGATGCTCGGCCCAAGCAGGTTCCGGCGCGTGTTGCGTCCGTGGAGGCGTCCAAAGGCGACACGTGTGCAACTTCTGAGACCGACGTCTGTCCCTCCCCCTCGCATCCGAAGCCTCCGCGTGTCCTTCTTATCCCTTCGGCCGAGAACCCTCGCAGGGTATAAAAGGAGGTGCGAGATTACCCGGTTCCTTCACCATTTTTAGCCCACTTTCTCATACTTTTCACACTTTTCACCTCCACAAACCTCCTTACAACCCCCCGAAGCCCCGGTATCATATCCAACACCCGAAGAACATCCCGAGGCACCAGAAGTCCGCAAGAAAAGAGTCTTTCAGTTTCTAAACCCGACCCTCGTAAAGCCCGGTTTTCAACAATAAAGCCTTTTTCTAGCAACAAAGTGCTGCCCAAATTACTATTTTAACCTCCGGTTATTTCACGGTGAGTTCAAATTATAGGAACAGTTGTATGTTATGTGTTATATGTGCAATATGCTTTCCCGTGTTATTATGATAATGAGCTATATCGTTGACCACGAAGTGAATGACTAAGCATCACTTGGGTATTGGTATGTAGCCTTTGACCATGAAGTGAATGAGTAAGCATCACTTTGGCACTGGCAGAATGCTGGATAGGGCTGAAAGCCTGTAAATTCTAGCAAAATGTTAATTCAGAAATCGTTTATTTTCTGTGCCACTTGGGCTGAAGTCTTATTGATGTATATCAAGTTGAAATTGTTGTATCTCATTGATTGTAAATCTTTGAATCAGATCATTTGTTGATATGGAAAGCTTGTCACATGATTCATATATGTCTTTGTTGTTCTTTGTTCCTCTTTGCTTCTATCATATTGGTATATATATGGCATAACGTTATATTGTATCTATTTTTAAACTCACTAAGCGTTACCGTTTATCTCTCTCAGTGTTTAACTATTGCAGGTAATAATGATCCAGTATAGACACATACTGTTGGAAGATTTAGAATAGTTAATAATATTACTTTTGTTTTTAGTGATCGTGTATGTATAAAATTATAATTTTCTGGATAGTTATGGAATATACTAAAACTTAGTCGGTTTGTATCGAGTCTTTTGTAATTAAACTATCAATGTAAAATATTGTTTATGCATATACATGTAGCATGTTTTGGAGTAATATGATGTAGTTTTAGAGAGGGTTTCTCTCAATTAAAGGATTTAATCAAATACATATGAAGATTTCTTAAAGGTTGAGGAATGATGCATGATTCATTTTTGTTCACATCTATACCTTTATCTTCATCTCATAGTACTTTTCATTTAATCTTTATGTTTGTTAAATTAATGTTCATTTGCTTGTTTATGTTTTATTCATTTATGATTGTTTATTATATTCGTTCAACATCATGATAATCATAACAGAACATAGTGATTTATAAATCAAACGAATGACAAAATTCGTTCAATACACATATCATTAATCCTTAAACAAAATGTTATTTTCTCAAATAGAGGAATCAATCTTTATGTCCATCCTATTAAACCAGAAGAACACTAATTGCTCTTCAAACACATAAATAAAGTTCGCCCCGATTGAGACCACAAGAGTCAAAGTTTTACATTGCAACTTCAATATCCATAAAAATAAACATTTGGAAAAAGAAAAGACTATCATAATAAGCTGCAAACAGCATCAGTCCACTTGAAAAAATTAAAAACTCAACCCACAGCAGACACATAAATTAAGCCCTTTTGGCAAAATCATCAGGCTCATCATTGTTCCCATAGCCTCCTTCTACCGGACCATCATTAGCACCACCACCATATCCACCACTTCCATAAGCATCACCACCACCAGCCGCCTGCTGACTCTCACCACCAAATCCCCCTCCAACATTACCCCCTCCATAGCCACCATCCCCACCAGAACCATAGCTACTACCACCATAACCACCACCGCCTCCACCGCCATATCCACCACCCCCATAGCCACCACCGCCTCCACCATAACCTCCACCTCCACCACCATATCCACCACCTCCCCGGAAACCACCACCACCTTGTGGTCTATCATTGGCATAATTCACTCTCACCATTCTACCATGCAACTCCTGCAAATTAAAAATGTTTCCTTTTCTGGTAAGTTCTCATATCAAAATTACTGATTTCTCCATTATCTTTAAAAATAAAGTAAATACTAATGAAAAGAAAAATGACAAATCTACCCTTTGATCCATTGCTTGGACTGCAGCAGAAGCAGCCTCAGTGTCGCCAAAAGTAACAAAGCCAAAACCTCTTGAACGACCAGTTTCTCTATCCATGATCACTCTAGCTGTTTCACATCATAAGAACTAATTGAGAATTTTATCACAAATATTAAAACAAAATTCAACATGCATCTTGTTATAGTTTATATTAAACATTTTTTAACCTTCATGGACTTCACCATATGGGCTAAAAGCTTCTTTCAAGCTCTGATCATCTGTAGCCCATGCCAATCCTGCAACAAGAATGACAAACATTACTATAAATACACAAAAACTTTTGAATTCAGTAGAAAAATCACATTAATTTCTTGTGTAATTTGAGATTACCTCCTACAAAGACTTTGGAACTTGACATGCATCTTATCATTTGAAAGATTGATGGAGTAGCTGCTGACATTTGAGGATTAATATGTTTACTTGCAGCAGCCTGCCTTAGTATACTACTAGCTCTGTTGAAGAAAGCCATGGTTGTATCTTGTAACCTAAAATACACACATTTCGGGGTTTAGAAAGTGAAATCCATGGTTCAATCTAACAAATATATATATTTAACGCTTGTTTCAATATCTAGTAAATAGTAAACAAACACAATCAACTGAAACAAATTGCTAGAAAACAAATCCAATAATCAATTAAGAAAAAAACACTCCTAAAGCAAAAATCTTGTTCGTGGATGTAAAATAATCCAAAGATCGCGTTTTATTAAAAAAAAAAATCAGTTTTTACCCATTTTTCTTTCTGAATCCACACGTATTTTCATTTTCGATCATATCTTATCACTAATTAAACCATTTACCGCAAGCAAATTAGACCAAAATACAAATTAGAAAATTAAACGATCAGACCTATAGCTTCACAGAACACTTGAACTTGATCAAGAAACGCTACAATAAACTCAAAAGAGGACCTTGATCGAAAATAATGGTGAACATATAAATCAGACACAAGTATGCGATGAATTAACATTCACCAAAAGCTCGATTGATCTTAACAAGGTCTCAATAATGAAAAGAAACTAGAGAAGAAGTACCTCGGGAACGCTGATCTTTCAGAGAGGGCGTTGATGAATAAAACCCTAGACGAGGGCTTTTTGGCTTATGCAGCTGATAACGAGGGTTTATGAGATTTTTTCGGTGGTATTCCTATTTATCGAGGGTTGAATCGGTATAAACCGTTGGATCGTATTCGGGGTAGCTTACGCCGTCGATTGACGTAGAAAATGTTTGCACCATAAATTTTGTACAACACCACTTATAAACTTGATATTTTTGTAGATATTAGGATTTAGGAGTATTATTTTGAGATTATAGATTTATTTTATTGAGTTGATGTTGCTTTTCCCTAAATATTAAACATATTAAGCATAAAAAATATTTTAATCTTTTGAAAACATTTTTAAAGGTTTAATTTTTGGTTTGGATTATTGGTTTATTTGAAACCTTTAACGCCTTGTTTCCGAGTTTTTTGTAAATTCATTAAAGGAAAGGGAGGGAAAATATTAACGGAATGAAAGAGAGGGGAAGGAAAATTTTATTTAATCCATGTTCCCGAGTTCGAAGGAAATGAAAGTAAAATTTTTAGTTTATGTGTTCCCGAGTTAGGAGGGAAAAGAGAAGAAAATTAAAATATTACAATTATACCCCTATTTACACATCATGTTAAGAACATGTAAACAATATGAATAAACTACAATGGAAATCAAAATCAATCAAAAACATTTAATCAAACAATCAACTAATGAAATAAACTCAAGTCAACAATGAAAACCTAGAAAATCAAAATTCCCCCTTTTACAAATGAAGTCCAATGCAACCTAATATAAAAAAACAAAAAAAAATTCTCATAAAACCTAAAGATATGACTCAATTTTTAGCTTCACTCATCATCTTTCTTAAAAAGATCTTCCTCATCCTCATTGAAGAACTAAAAATTGTCCTAGCATCGGCTTGATTACGCGACAAATATATGAAAGCATCTGTAAATTCATCGTCATCCAAACCCATCAACTCTAACTCTTTCTCGATTTCCTCACCTGTATAGTCACGAGATTTGTTCCCTTCCCTCATAACATCAACGATTTCTTTAAATGTTTGCACAATATTGTGTTCAAAAGATTCTGGTTGAGGTTCAGGTTGAGGTTCAGGTTCAGGTTCAGCTACTACTTCATTTTCATCTTGAAGTTTGCTTTCTAATTTTCTTTTTTTACTCTTCAGCTTCTTGGCTTTTGAACTCCCATCAGGTGAAACATCTGTTGCTGACACTATTTGAATGTCCTCATCATCATCTTTGTGTTCGTTCTCCAAAATTACCTCCCTTATTTGCCATTAGTTTATCCACATCAGCAATTTTTTCTATTTTAATTTCTTTGGATTTGCTTAACCGGACGTTTTTTTCTTTTGCTGTTTCCGCTTTTTGATCCCGATGCTCTATCATCTGAAAATAACATCACCAACTGATTGTAGTTTGAAATTTTTTTGGTCCTGAATGCAGCTGCTTCAGGGTTTTCCTGTTTATAAACAAACCAAAAAATTAATTAGTAAAGTTAATGGTAAAAAAGTTATATAAAACAATAAATCAAACGTAAAACCAACACGTACTTTAATTAATTGTTCCTATACTTCCTCCTCTGCTTCAATGTGTTTTTGTTTGAGAATTCCATGAGAACCCACTCAACGAAGTACCCCGATACATATCATACCATTTACTAAAATTACCTTTTAAAGTTTTCATTCTGTTTTTAAGTTGATGTTTTGTAATAGACTTGTTAAACTCTTTACTCAACCCTGCAATCATGTTCGCATATGCTTGCAAAGTGAATGTGTAACATCCCAAATTTCGGGTCCAAAAATTTCATTTTTAATTAATTGATTTATAAACTTTCATAAGAAAACATATTCATAAAACTAATATCTCATGTCTGAAAACCAAACCATAAATGTAACAATGTCAGAGTACAATCCCAAGAATCTCGTAATGCGGAAATCCAACGTGTGTGTATGATGTGCAGCTACCGCGCCAGCTCCTTCCCCTTCGCTGAAGAGGTACCTGAAACAAAACTGAAAATTGTAAGCATGAAGCTTAGTGAGTTCCCCCATCGTACCGCATACCATACAATCACATAACATGCATATATTGTCAGGCATATCTGGGTGCCCGACCTACCCCTTCGGTCCTCTCGACCGGATACTGCCTAGCATACCTGGGTGCTAGCCTCTCCTTCGGTCCTCTCGACCAGATACTGCCTAGCATATCTGGGTGCTGACCTCCCCTTCGGTCCTCTCGACCGGATACTGCCTAGCATATCTAGGTGCTGGCCTCCCCTTCGGTCCTCTCGACCGGATACTGGGGACTATTTCACCCCTCTACTACTACCACATAACATGTAGCACATAATCATATTCTATCTAGCATGATTGGGTATGACTACCCCCTTCGGCCCTATCGACCAGAAATCTTGGGGACTATCTCCCCTACTGCTACTAGCATACAACATCATATCATACTAGCACATAACATATCAGGTAGTAGCAAACCTATATGAATATCACAAAGACAATCATCTAACATACGACTCCTACTGGTGGGCCGACATTGGTGCCTTAGACCCACTTCTACTGGAAGGCAACTCACCTCGTAAGGCTGACTGATGAAAAGCTGATCGGCAGATGTCTGACTGCTGCTCCGGTGATCCTCCGGCTATAAATCCATAAAACACTTAATCAGAACTGATAACTACTCTTAGGGTAAAATGACTATTTTACCCCTAACCAAGTCAAAGTCAAAGTCAACTTCCAGTTGACCTGACTCGTCGAGTTGGGCCGCCAACTCGTCGAGTCCCTATCCTTTCATTTGTCCTTCTTCACGCTGCTACTCGTCGAGTTTAGCAATGACTCGACAAGTTCTCCTTCTAAAACAACCTCGAATGAACCTTCATCCGACTCGCCGAGTTGTATGAACAACTCGTCGAGTTCATCCCCATCCTATGAACAAGTCCTGCCCTTGACTCGCCGAGTTGTATGAACAACTCGTCGAGTTCATCTTCGAAAGTTGGGAGATTGCCTTGGACTCACTGAGTCTGCTCATACACTCGCCGAGTCCCATGATTTCCAGGTCTATGGCTAAGTCCAATGCGTTGGGTCACTCCCTCGGACCCCTCTAAGACCACTCTAACACTCACTGGGTTCCTTCGAACCATAACAAATAAGGGAAGTCAGGCCATGGACTCGCCGAGTCCCAAGAACGACTCGCCGAGTCGAGAATGACCAAGTCTCATTTCTCGATTTCTGATGTACAACACTTGACCAAAAGATAGATCTAGGCTTCTAAGATCGATCTAGCACGTAAAGTTACAAACTTTACGTGCATGCATGGGACTATGAGCTCAAATGGCCCTAAATGAGACTCTTAAGATGCATGGGGCTCTCTAAGGCTCCAAAATCAGTCCCTTTTCTGCCTTATAACCCCTTAAAGACCTTGGATCTGAAGTCTTAGCCCCCAACCATGCTTGCACTCATGATTGGTCACCAAGAATGGCTCCTAAAAGCCCTAAATCACCCCAAAAGGGGATCTAAAACATGAAAGAGCAAGGTATCAGCTTTATACCTCTAAAGAACTGCAGTGGGTGCACAAACTCGAACTCCTCTGGCCTCCTCTTGATTCCTCAAGCCTTTCTCTTCCTTCTTATGTTCCAAAATCACCAAAAACCACCACAAAGGCCTTATATCTTAACACAAACGATTAGGGTTTCAGTAGGAGGTGTTCTGGGAGCATAAGGGACGATGGAGGCTACAAATCTCCCCCACTTATTTTAGACTTCGTCCTCGAAGTCTGCTGTTCGATCCTGAAAAAGCTCTGGGTAATGCTCCATCATCTCATCCTCCGGCTCCCACGTCCACTCCGAGCCCTTCCGGTGCTGCCATTGCACCTTCACCAGCTCGACCTTCTTGTTCCTCAGATCCTTCGACTTCCGGTCGAGGATCGCCACAGGCCGCTCAATGTAGTTCAGGCTGCCATCAACCTGTATATCCTCCAGAGGTACCACTGTCGAGTCATCCACCAAGCACTTCCGCAGCTGGGAGACATGGAAAGTGCTATGGATCTGACTGAGTTCCGGTGGCAGATCCAACCTATACGCCACCTTGCCCACCCGGGCTATAATCCTGAAGGGTCCAATATACCTGGGGCCCAGCTTGCCCCGCTTCCTGAATCGGATGACGCCCTTCCATGGCGACACCTTTAGGAGGACCATATCCCCGACCTGGAACTCCAGGTCCGAGCGGCGCTTGTCGGCATAACTTTTCTGCCGACTCTGAGCAGTCTGAAGCCTACTCCTGACCTGCTGAATCCTCTCTGTCGTCTTGAGCACCACTTCGGTGCTCCCCATGACCCGCTGGCCCACCTCACCCTAACATATCGGGGTTCTACACTTCCTCCCGTATAACATCTCAAAGGGAGGACGATCGATACTCGCGTGGTAGCTGTTGTTGTAGGAGAACTCAGCTAATGGGAGGTGGGCATCCCAACTACCACCGAAGTCTAGCACACATGCCCACAACATATCCTCCAAAGTTTGGATAGTCCGCCCACTCTGACCGTCCGTCTGTGGGTGGAATGTTGTGCTGAAGTGCAGACGAGTACGCAACTCGTCGTGAAACTTCTTCCAGAACCTAGAAGTAAACCACACGTCTCGGTCTGAAATCACCGAAACTGGCACTCCGTGCCGAGCTACTACCTCTCAGATGTAGATGTCGGCCAACTTCTCGGCCGAAATGCTCTCCTGGATTGGTATGAAATGGGCACTCTTGGTTAACCGATAAACGATCACCCAAATCGAATCCACTCCCCGTGCAGTCCTGGGAAGCTTGGTGATGAAGTACATAGTAATATCTTCCCATTTCCACATGGGAATGTCTAACGGCTGCATCTTGCCATGCGGCCTCTGGTGCCCGGCCTTGACCTTCCTGCAGGTCAAGCACCGCTCCACGTACCATGCTACATCCCGCTTCATGCAGGGCCACCAATAGTCAAGACGAAGATCTCTATACATCTTCGTCGCTCCGGGATGGATAGAAAACCTGGATTTGTACGCCTCCTCCATCAATGTCTGGCGCACGCCTCCATGATAGGGGACCCACACCCTACGGTCAAGTGTCAATAACCCTCGGCTATCATAGTCGAAGGAGGAAACCTGACCCACTATACGCTCGCTCTTCCGATGTTTCTCCTTCATAGC